CTAGGGTAAAAATAAGCGTTGGGGTCTTCCGGCGCTTGTATGGTGTGATGAACTAGTATAAGTTTGATAAACTTAAGGTGATAAATGCATAAAGGGCCCTAGCGGTAATCATGGCCCTATTTGAGCTCATAGACCATAGCTCTGAACAATTTTGTTTGTAGCTGCGCAATAAAATTTTTGCTTCGTAGAATTTCCGTAACTCCCCTCCTTGAAGCGCTCTGCAGATTCCGAAAGAAGATTCGCATTCGGCGTTCCGTACTCTATAAGACAGTACACTTCCTATGGAAACGCCAGTTTGTAAGTATCCTCCCCTTGTTAGACTGGATTCATGTGAGCCCTACATCAGGTGTTACTTAAATGTTTATTTCGAAGGTACATGCCTGTTGTTCAGTGGAAAGGATAAGTAACGTTCGCTTCCAGTTCCAGATGCGGTGGGCCCTGCTCTTGGTACTATTGTATTGGTGTGCTCCTCATATCACTCTATCAAGCGAAGGCTTGGAGAACATAGGCTCATCAGCAGGATACAATATTGCATCGGAAATTTTCATAAATTCGATCAATTTCTCGGTTAGTTAAATGAACCTGCTTGCAGGATTCTACTTTATTGCATTTTAGGTAAATCCATGCGAGGATTTCTTTGAATTTTCTTGTGGTAACTGGATAGCTCAACATCCGATACCCAAAGACAAAGCTAGCTATTCACAGTTCGAATTGCTCTCTGACAAAGTCCAAGCGCAAATGAAAGGTATTGCCCCTTGCACAACTGTTGTTACCCTCGCTCTGCTCCGCAATTGCTCTACGCTCGCGCCTCTGGCCTGACGCATAGCTAATGTTTTGGCAACACGCCAACCCTATGTTGTCGCTAACGTTAACAGCCAAAATGTTTTGCCAACATGTTATGAACCCGCCATATATGATAATTTTGATCCACTATTTGATAGGCCGCTTGATCCGCATCATGCAAAACACGCGCACACACAGCAGTTTGCTTGGCGCCGCGTAGGTAAAAAGGAATTTTGTATGAAGCAGATTACGCAGAGCGCACGGACAAATCAATGATGCGCGTTTTGTGTAAAACGGATTAAGCGGATCAAGGGATCGAGCGGATCAAGTGGATCAAGAATGTCAAGTATGGCAGGTGCCTTACCCACACTTGCCACAAGTCTGACGCAAAGTATAGTAACAAAACTGTGAAATACATGCCGCAGGCCAGAGGGTAGCAGCAACTTTAGAAGGGACGATATATAACAAGACAAATGGGAATTTGCAAAAACTTGCACAGGTCGCAATATTCAGCTTTATACACTCGAAGCATTATTGTTAGTGAAAAATGCACGTACTTTTCCGTTATCCTGAGTTTTTTCAAAAAAGTGCTCCTTTCCTTGCACCCAACTAGTCTCCCAAACTCACAAGATTGTCAACCTCTTGCTACGTCGTAAAGTGTCATCCATATGATCAACAAGTGAGTTTTCCATAGCCTACCTACCAAATTCAGTCCATTGTGTCTACAACCAATATTCACCCCATTTTCAATTCAACAACTCAAAAAATAAATCAAAAACTGAACTTAGAGTAATGTCATTTTGTTTTAATGGATAAATTGTATCTTAAAGGTGTGCTAAGGTTTTATCATTTGAGCAATGAGATACTTTACGCCATCATACGGGTAAGTGTGGAGGAGATTATTCTTGATTCATCGCTAAAAGCGATCAAGATGCTCCAATGCGCCTTTTGGAATGTTCCCATGTCTGATTTTGCATTGAATTTTGCGATTTTTTTGAATAAATTCTTGAGACATATTCGAATCAAATGAAACGTTCGGATCGAAATCTATGAATGCTGTAAAGTACATCTACAAAAAATGTATGGATAAGGACGAGCTGAATCGCATTGGTGCGAGACGAGTTATAGAACGCATCCGAGTGAGTCACATGAGGCCATAGACAACTTTGAAAATGGTTACTTTAGAGTGTTGGTGTTTGGCCCATTTTGGAAGGAGATGAAAATTGGAAAGAGGAGGATTTTGATCTAACATCGCTGCTAATCCAGTTGAAACAAATTCGTGATTTCGACGTATTCGTCAAGTTCGGCATTGGTCCTGACTACAAGAATGTCTCTCGCTATCTCATCACGGTATGTGATTTTTGTATGCGGAAGAAAAGGTCACAGAATGAAATTCTGGTGCCTGTATGAAGCACTTTCAAGCAAATAAAAATTATAATTCAAGGACAAATCAAGTTTTGCAAGATTCTGACTTCTCTTCTAGCAAACGTCCAGTTATAGTGATAAGGTCTTCTGAGTAGGAATGGAGATTCCCGTTAGTTTGACTTATGCAACTAGAAGGTTACGACTAACGCCATTTGATTTGTTTGCTTGAACCAGTGGTAAAAACCCAACGCTGTGATGAGCTATTAAACTCCATAAAGAAATTTCCAAGACATTATGAAGATGCCCTGTTTTTGTCAATTTTTCTCAACTTTCTCCAATGATACTATCACGGAACCTCTTTGCTGAACGTATCCACTAATCTTGGCAAAGAATATAACTTGAGCTGAAAACGATTTGTTCTAACACTTGTTTTTGATTGCAAGAGTACAGATTTCTCTTCTTATAATATGACGAATTTCTTCGTGTTGTTATCGTTTACACAAAGAGCGATCTCTTCCTCAAAGGAAATCTGCAATCCGCTTGAAAAAAGGGGCTTTTTCCAGTGGCAGCTTTACTTACAAAGCAGAGATTTTTTTTGTGGGAGAGCAAGCTACTTGCAGATATAAAAAGATTCTCAGGCCGCCTACTTGCAGCGTTTTACGATTAATACTTTTGTATAGAAAGTACCCTAATTTCACGCGTATAAGACGCACCTTTTTTTGTTTTTCAAACGTGCCGCTAGCAGCCTCGTTGTGTTTCGGAAAATGGTTCAAGCAATATGCAGCACCGTGAATAAATTTTTGCACGCGAAGTCCTTCGGCGTGTCTGTGCTGTTCAATTTTAGAATAAAAAACCACCGCGTCTTATAGCGTGAAATCATGTAATTTCTTAAGTTCACATGATCCGGCTTTCTTAGATTTAGACCGTGCTTCTAATTTTGCTTTTATAGTTCTGTCAAGACGACCCGAGCAAAACTTTGCAAGAGTTGGTCTCGGGGAGAGGAATCGGGAGAGGAATCCACGGCACGGAGGTTGAAGCTTAAGAAAACAATGTTTTTTTTGCTTTTCTTTCTTTTTGCCATCTTCTGCTATAGTTGCTTTCATTTCGTAGCCTACGCGCAAAGTGCGCACTATGAGCAAGTAGTGGTGTTAGTTTAAACTTGAAGAAAATTTTCTATAAGATATACTGCAAATATATAAAAACTGCTCAGTTTTCTTTGGAGAGTGCGAAAAGTGGGTTTTTCAAAAATTTTTGATTCCTTCATTCCTGAAAATTGAGAAAATCCGTCATTTTCTAGCACTCAATATACTGTGTCCACCCTTACTAAACCGAGCAAAACTTTGGTAATCACTTTCCGTTTTATGCTGAATTGAGACCGGTGCGGCTCGTCAAGTTAGTTCTGAATTTCTCGGCTCACGACTATTCTAAAACCTTGTTTCTAAACGTGTTTGCACCAGTAAACTTTGCAAACGTCCTGCATCTGGCATTTTGTTGAATCTGTACAAATTCAGTGCAATGAGACCGCTAGGAAAAATCGTTTGTTGCTCATTTGGGAATATGTTATTTGAAACTGGATAGTACTGGGAGAAAAACGAGAGCATATACAAGCTGGCAGAAACGCTTTTTTTGAAGGTTTATAAGGAAAATCTTTTTTTTTTGAAGAACCGATGCTTCTAGAAGACGTAACAAAACGTGCATCAACTATGAAACAACCTAGTAGACAATCTGTTCGCAGTTTTCAGGAGCTCCTGAGCTTGAAACGTTTGCTTGAAGACGCCACAAGGATGTTGAAGGCTGCGAAAAAGTCTTATATTAGCATGGTGAAGCAAACACTTCCAAAAAGGCTATAGAATCTACTCAAATTTTTAGAACTACAGGTCGAGCTATTTCAAAGAGATGGCGATTTGCCTATCAACAGAACAAAAGTTGAGAAAGACGTTGAGGAGATAATAAATTTGGAAATGAAGATGATAGATATGCTTGTTCCTGACGAGGATCGCAAAAACTACACCAAGTATTATCAACTAAGTCATCTAAGTGATATGAACAAACTTGTGCCTTTGGTGCGTGCATACATAGGCAAAGCACTGCTGAAATTAGTTGTTTACTCAATGAACTTTTTTTTAGGTGGACTGGACGCGTTTGCTCCTTGCCGTCGCTCCATCTGCTTCTCGTCAATACCTTAAATCAAATCCAGAAATCTATATTGCAGATTTTGACTATTTGAAAGGGTAGAACACCCTTCATGAAACAGCTATGGTTCCGCATATTACCTAGTAGAGCACATTCAGGATACGCAAACTTTTGCAATCGACAAACGCTCGTATAATAACAAATTTTATTTTCATGCGGTTCGCTTCGAGATACGAGCGAGAACTGGGAGAAAAATATGAAGACATTGTACAGGTTTGAGACATTGTTTAGAAGGATTTCAAATGTGATTAGCTCAGCGCGCCATAAGCTCAGGGTCAAAAGTGTGAGAATTTTTCAAATTCTAGGAACGCGACAAAACTCTCGGTAAGCAGCAAAAGGAACCACGATGGGTGGATTGTACCTGGAGCACCATGCAACAACTGAAATACGCGACCAGTGCCATATACGTCAAAAAAGCTTTCGATCAGGTTACCTCATAGTGATAACACTTTTTCGGCATCACCGGTATTTGATAATTTTAGTCTTCGAAGAACCTTACAATAGAAATGACCGATGATTTGTTGAAAACATTTCGAGAAATTTTGAGCACCACCGGTTGGATGGACGATCGAACCAGAGCTGTAAGGCAACAAATTAAATGACAGAACTAGACATACTCACTGCAGGCAGCTTTGGACAAGGCGAACCAATTGTCGTCTCAGGTAGCTTATCCCGAATTTATCCTAGATGAAGAAAAACTCGACCAGTATTATGACGGCGTAAGTTTCTTTTGCTACCGTTTATTCCAGAAAAGGTACATGTCGCTTCAGCTGGATGTGAATGATACTGATTCGTACAGTGAGATGCTGGAAAAAGTAGAACGACAGAAGATTGAATTTTGGTTCAAAATGCTTACAAAACCTGCGAGTCATTTCGATCTTGAATCAAGCTCTGCCACTGTGGCCCCTATCTACATACCCACAACCAACTCTCTTAGTAAGACTGCATGGTCTCATTCATTTACTCACTTTATCATCGGCACTTCCAGGACTTCCCGCTGCTATTCTTCAAGCTCCTCTTTTTCACCACACTTTTCCCAGGTGGTTCTTGATTAGCTCATTCGCTGTAAAAGATTCTGCTTGGATGTTCATACATTGACAAACTGGCTACTCGAATAACGCCATCTTAAGAGAGTCATGAAGTTGACAGATTTTTGATCTGCTCCTGTTAAATGTACGAAAATCTCTCGCTGATAGAGATCACCACATAAATAGAGTTTGTTGATAGAGTTTTACATCGTCTTCACTTTCGCAAAACCTCTTCCATGACGAAGGCGTCGGTTCAATGTGCGACGCGGTTACGACTAGCGTGTCCGAGTTTCTTATCATTGGAGTTCGTACATACGCACGCCTCGCGCGCAAGGGCGGCCGCCTTCGTCTTGGGTTAGCTTTCGAGCTAATTAGTGGAACTCTTGGAAGTAGCACAAGGAAGACTGAAGATGAAGCGTACATGAAGAGAGAGATTAGACGCTTTTTCAGCCTTAATCAAAATAAGCTCGCCTTTTTTGTATTTCTGCATAGATCACTTAGATATACCGCTCATAATCGTCAAAAAAGTCGCCGAAGTGCGCTGCATTGCGCCAGAAAGCGGCGGAGTGCGCCGCACATCACTAGAGTCCGCCGGAATCCGCGTTGCATTGCCATATCTCGCTTCAGAATAAGCGAATTTTAAGTGAGGAAACTGTTCGATTCAGCTCGGCGAGACGCATCATCCGGTGTGTAAAAGTGCCATGATCTGTTGAGGTACAGTAGGTATATTGTAGGCAGTAAATTTCCGCTCAGTTTTGCAGGTTTTCATTTCATTGGATTATTCAGTGTGCTCTTAACAACATCGCCATTGATTTGCTGCTAATATTAGGTTGGTGCAAAAGTAATGCACGTTTTGCGAGTTCTCACTTTGACGTGTTATAACTTTTTGAAAAATCCATATTTTCCAGTGCGGCAAAATTAATCAGAGGCACCAAAGCTTTCTCTATACAGCGCACATCAATTTATGTTATTATCGCAAACCGGCGGAAAAATATGGGTTGATAAGCAAAAAAAAATTTTTTTTCGGAAACCTCGTACTTAACTGATCATAACTTCCTTCAAAATTTGTCGGTATAAATGATAAGTTGACTGTCTTGTAGCCGCAAGCCAGTAGTACAAAAAAGTACAAAAGGGCTCAAATAAAGAATATTTGCGAAGAGGAAAAAAATATTAGGTCGTTCCGAAAGTAACGTCGCTTTTTTCAAACGTATGCCACATCTCGCGGAACAAAGAAGTGTAGGAGACTCTGGCAGCATTTGATGCAGCATTTCATTCTCTTTCAAATGGTTATGGAGTTGTTGCAATACGGTCAATGAGCTTCCAGAAAAAGTCAAAATCTGCGACCTATGCTATTTGAGATGTCCAAGTTTCACAATTTTTCTAATATTTTATAACAAACCTCAAAAGGAGTCCAAGTGATGGATGGGTAGAGCAAACCCTACAGGAAACAGCACAACTTTTTTGCACTTTCCAGAGCTCGTTACAATTTTTTTACAGATTTTTTGATGGAACCACCAAATTTTAGGAGGCTCGTCTCAGACAAAAGTGCATCAAACGCCAGCAAGTCTCCGGATCTCGAAAGTTACAAAGATGGATTAAGACTTGGCAACAATTTTACAAACCAAACGAGCATTCACCGCTTCGGTTTAGCAACTTTCGAAAGTTTCGGGTACACCTCGTGGTGCCATGGAAAAGTTGAATTATGATGATTTTCTCCCGGAAAACTTGATGAATCGGAAACAAAAAACAACTAGTAGAAAGAGGAGAAAAAGCTGCGTCGTATGACACCCGAGTTGCTTGCCGGTTGTTGTTCTGTGTGGTTTAAGTTGACCAAATATGCAATTTGATAGCATTGAAAAATTGGTTCCAGAAACTTTAAGAAGCAGGCTAAGGAGAAGGAAAAATTATCCTGTGTCCTATAGGGTTTGCTTTGTCTAACTGTCACTTGCACATCTTCGGAGAATAGGCACAAAAATTTAGAAAAATAGCCGAACTTGACAATGGCAAAAAGCATGCGTCGCAGATTTTGGTAATTTTTCGAGAGCTTATTGGACATTATGCAGCGAAATTAGAACCCTCAGAAAGAGGATGAAGCGCTGCATCGAATGCTTCTAGAATCTCTTGAAAATCTTGATTCCATGAGATGTGGCGTTCATTTGAAGAAGCGACATTACTTTCCGAACGACCTAACAATATTTAAAATTGTCCACTTTTTTCGACATTTTTTTAGCCCTCAAAATCCCAAATTATGGAGATTTTTGATTTTCTGTGTACTGAACAGCTTCCACATTTCTGCAAAAACTGTCAACAAGAGGCCCCCTTTACGCTTACAGAAATGAAAGAACTTTGGCGATTGCCCTCTTCAGAAGAAATCTGTGGGCTACAGAATGGCCAAAACCATCACCCATGTTGAGGCGCCGAGATTTAGTATAAGTAATTTCTAGGAAAACATAAAGCGTGCATAACGTAGAAAATTGCCACTACATACAGTAGTTAAATTTTCAAAAGAATGCCTTTACTCGCGCTTGAATTCCGGCCCAAAAAGTAAGTGCAATGAAATTCTGGTACTAAATGCGGTTGTATGAAGCTCTATAAATTTTTAACAAATGAGGCTAGAAACTTCTTTCAACCACCGTTGAATAGAAAATGAAAAAAGCTTCTTGACAATATGCTGTGCAAGTTTCTTAGGAGAAACTTCGACGAAATAAGCTATCTTGAAACAAGGGCTGGAAAAACGCGCACTACTTTTGCACCAAATAATAAAACATAGTACGGATATTGTTGGAGTATGGTAAAAAATCACCTTGAACTATGATTGATTTCTTTGTTTTAAGTCCAGCTCAGAGTAATTCTGATGCGCCGATTGCGGTAGTAACATTCATTTAATGCTGAAGGCACATTGCGCAAGCTATGCTAGGTAAGGTCATTTTATTGTATGCGAAACTTTCATTATTGTAGCTTCCACGTGCCGCTCGTTCTAAACAGAAAGATCGCATGCAGCACTGGCGATTTGCGAAATGGTACTATCAAATGCGCCTTGATGGTCTGATGATCTTCTTTCCTTATTTGCTGAAAGGCTCCCTAGTAAAAGTTAAGAGCTTCTTTAAATTTCGCAAACAATTAATGTCATACATCCAAGAAATAGCGGTACAAGGACCCTTCATTATTATCTGATAGAGTTTTTGCTTTTTCTATTCAATACAGTGGTTTTGTAGTTTTTTTTTGTAGTTTTCGAAAAATAAAGAATTCGGATTTTTTCGTTTCAGTTTCAGTGCTAAAATCGACATTTCTCGAAAAGCACCGCTCGAAATAGGCTGAAACTCTACAGTTATGCTTACCTAGGCTTGTAGTATAGAACTACATATGCAAAAACGGCTCAGCATTGCTTTGAGAAAATCAGGGAAATTTTCGTTTTCTCAGTTTCTGGTCAAGGAAAAAATACGGCGATCGCACATATGGATATCAGATATCGATAGTATTGATGTGGGCGAGTGGGAGGTCCGTAGAAATTATTTGGACGAAAATCTGATTTTTTTCGATTTTTTGGGCATTTGGAAATCTTTAAATTTTGAGTTCGAACTCTCCGTGGACCGAGCATGGCGCAAAGACATGAGAGCCATCTTGTAGAGCTTGCTTTGCTCTATCGAACAGTACCCCTTACCCTTTGTTGGGTTGAGTCTGGTTGCTTTGTTAAAGCAAGCAAATAAAAACGGACATTATTTTCTTGACAACCTAATAATTTGGTGAGCACATGCATTCACCAAAGCATATCGCAGCGCACATTGCACATAAAAAGCGTTGATAATTCCATGTTCTCTCTTCTCTAAACCTTGGCATTCGGGAATGTGTTGGTAATTGTTATATGATATTATGCCAGTGCCAAGTTTGTACGGTGGAATTCTTTATCGGCCTTATGTTTCGACAATTTCGTCTTCGTGGGAGGCCTTTATCCACCGTAGTGTTAGTGAGAGTCAGTAGAGTCACTACTTAGTCGCACCGAAGAGACAGACGTCGGAGGCCTTTATCCACTACGGTGGATAAAGGCCTCCGACGAAGACGAAATTGTCGAAACGTAAGGTCAATAAAGAATTCCACCGTACAAACCTGGCACTGGCATAATATCATATAACAATTATCAACGCTTTGATAAGTATTTTTTCAGTAGGGCTGTGCTCACATAACTTTCCTTTGATAGAAGATCACTTAAAGATTTTTCCTTCAAGCGGAGAGAAAACGGGTAAATTTTGGAGATAGGCAAGGACGAAGAACCAACAATTTACTGCAAATCCACAATAGCACCTTTGAAGCGAATTTTGCGTTATTACCGTAATCTGCAGGCCATATTGCCCACCTAAACCGAGTTTTGCATTGATCTGAGGTCTTCGTTTACGTTCTGCGGACGGGTTCATGTAATGCGCAACTCTAAGCCCTCTGAAGATGGAGGACCCCGTAGGCGTCACGCGATAGAACAGCCTTCCTGTTTTCTAATAGCAAAGAAAGGCGCAGAACGTCCTTTGCTGTGCGGGAATGACTAGCAAACTTAGGAGAATTTCATGTTTATCTAAAAATTGTCTACCGTGGCCCTATAGTAAAGAGCTATTTTATCCTATGTGATTTTCAGGGTCAGCAGGTTGGGTAACCCCTATGTGCAGGCTTTCTGAGAGAATCGGGACTTTTGATTTTACCTCGTTCCTCGTTCTCAAGCTCGCTGCATGTTTTGACTGAAATAGTAATGATTTTGATTAGACCTAAAACTTCGCTCAGAAAAAATTTTGGACACACTGTTTACGAAAACCTTATCATTCTGCACGAAGTGGTTTTAGTGCAAAGTTACAGTAGCGGTAGCTAAGTCACGCAAGCTCGCAGGTTTGTCTACCCTTCTCGTCATCTCCTGACGAATTTGCCTGTGCATTCTTGTAGACTAGAGTTTCTGTAAACAGTACGGTCAAATCATGCTTTATCTATACCCTCGTCTGCACTACTTCCCAGATTATGAGCTTACAAATTCACGCTCTCATGAATTTTTTTTCCAAATAATCGCTTATTTTGATGAAGAGTGTCGCAAGTGCGTAACACACTGGTCACAGATACTAACAAGGGAATGGTCAGAAATCGAAGTGGCCAATTCAAACAAGGTGCATACCATTCGATGCAGCATAGAATGCTGATTTCAGATCTGTCTCCCTTATCTGCAGAGCGCTCTTGTAGGCGAAGTTATAAGCCGTTAAATGTCATCATTTTGCTAAGAAATTGTGCGTGTAAAGGTCAAATTTGGCCGTGCAAAGCCATTCTCGGCTCAGTGTTGGACCAAAACGTATAACTAGGTCAGTTCATATGGCTCGTACCTAAAGGTGAGCTGAAAGAGCAGTGATCTGCCTAATTTCGCAGTTTTTGTGGACGATTTTTCCGCAGTAAAGCTGCTCATAACTTCGCCCACAAAGGCGCTCTGCAGATACGGAAAACACATTTGAAATCAGCATCCTATGCTGCATCGATTGGTATGCAGCTTGTATGGATTGGCCACTTCGACTTCTGACCATTCCCTTGTAAGTTCATTTCACAAATGAGAAATCTAATAGATTCAACAATCCGACAAACGGCATAAATAAAGTATGGTCCGACTGTACTGTCACAGAACTCCAACCTACAAGTATGCGCAGGTAAATTCGTCAGGAGATGGCGAGAGGGGCAGGCAAACTCGCAACATTGTGTGACTCAGCTAGATCCCGCTTACTATAACTTTACACTAAAACCATTTCGTGCAGAATGACTAAGGTTTTCGTAAACAGTGGATCCTAAAACCTTTGTAAGCGAATTTTCAGGTCTAATCAAGATCATTACTATTTTAGCCAAAGCCTGCGGCGAGCTTGAGAGCAAGGAACGACAAAAAATCGGATGTCCCGGCTTTCCAGAAAATCTGCCCATAGGGGCTATCTGACCTCCTGATCCTGCAAACCACATCTGAATTACAAAACAGCTCCTTATTATAAGGCCACGGTAGAAAGCTTTTAGATGGACATGAATTTCTCTTAAGTTTGCTAGCCACTCCCGCACAGCAAAGGATTTTCTGCGCTTTTTTTGCTATTCGAAAACAGGAGGGCTGTTCTATCGCGTGATGCCTACGGGGTCCCCCATCTTCAGAAAGCTCGGAGTTGCGCATTGCATGAACCCGTCCGCAGAACGTAAACGAAAACCTCAGATCAATGCAAAACTCGGTTTAGGTGGGCAATATGGCCTGCAGATTACGATAGTAACACAAAATTTGCTTTCAAAGGTGCTGTTGTGGATTTGCAGTAAACTGTTGGTTCCTTGTCCTTGCCTATCTCCAAAATCCACCGTGTTTTCTCTCCGCTTTGAAGAAAAACGTCTAAGTGATCTTCTATCAAAGGAAAGTCATGTGGGCACAGCCCTATTGAAAAATACTTATCAAAGCTTTCAATGTGCAATGTGCGCTGCGATATACTTTGGTGAAAGCATGTGCTCAAGGAACTATTAGACTTACTATACACAGCTTAATCGCGTGAGCGCTGAGTAACAACGTCAGTTGTACTCTCAGCATGACGTCATAATGATCATTAGCTACTGTGGACAGGAACGTTCTTATTAGCATGCATATCGTTAGAGCGTCTTGATAAGGATGTCTATCTTCTCCGCTGCTGATCGAGTCTCTGAGAGGAGTTATGGGCGATTACAAGTATAGAGTCATCGAGGTTTTACGTTGCATGATATACTTTGAGGATCAATTCGAAAGACCATAATGGGCATGATGTTGTGTGTACTGAATACAAAGAGCAAAACACTATCAGATTCATGATGAAGGGTCCTTGTACTGCTATTTCTTGGATGTATGACATCAATTGTTTACGAAATCTAGAGAAGCTCTTAACTTTTACTAGGGAACCTTTCAGCAAATAAGGAAAGAAGATCATCAGACCATCAAGGCGCATTTGATAGTACCATTTCGCAGATCGCCAGTGCTGCATGCGATCTTTCTGTTTAGAACGAGCGGCACGTGGAAGCTACAATAATGAAAGTTTCGCATACAATAAAATGACCTTACCTAGCATAGCTTGCGCAATGTGTCTTAAGCATTAAATGAACGTTACTACCGCAAACAGCGCATCAGAATTACTCTGAGCTGGATTTAGAACAAATCAATCAAAGTTTTTTTTTCAAGTTCAAAGTGATTCTTTAATACTTCAACAGTATCCGTACGGTATTCTACATCAGCAAATCAATAGCGGTGTTGTTAAGAGCGCACTGAAGACAAGTAAAATCTGCGAAATTGAGTGTAAATATACTGCCTACCGTATACCTACCGTACCTCGACAGCTTGTGGCACTTTTACATACCGAATGATGCGCCTCGCTGGGAATCGAATAGTTTTCTTATATACAGAACTCGTCCATTCTAAGCAAGGTATGGCGATACGAGGCGAATTCCGGCGGACTATAGTGATGTGCGGCACTCTTCGCTGCTCTCCGGCGGATTCTAGGGAGTGCGGTGCACTTTGCTGCACTTTGGTGACTTTTTTTGGCGAATTATGAGCGGTATTGTAATTGATAAAGAGCAACACTTCTCGATAACTTAGTTTAATTTTCTTGCAGAGCTTTGAATTACGGAGGACTGGGAGCACTTATTGGGCATGAAATTACCCACGCTTTCGACGATGTAGGTAATCATGTTTTTCAACTAAATATGGAATGCTTCTGGGAATGCTTAGTCGCATTATACTACAAGGTCCTCGCGTCGTGACCTGAAGGCGCGGGCACCTCCAGCTGTGTTAGGTGCTCTGCATCCAGTTAGCAACCGTGAGCCACCTCCGCGGATGGAGCCTCGTTCGGAGCACCGCGTGCCGACGCCGTATCGCGATGTCCCACCATAAAACTTAGACCCAGACGCATTAACATTTCATGGGGAAGGGAATGCAGCTTAGAAAAAAGCTCCAAATCTTTAAGCCCCAGACATTTGGATTTTACGCTTATCTATATTTGAGTATTCCTACTATCCTTCACTGTGTACATATCAGGAGCGAGAAGCTGCACAAGCCGCGTTTTCCAGCTTTTTGTATAATCCCCTAATTATCCCCGGCGGCCGACAGTCTTTTCTTCAAAGCCGTTTTTCTTCCTTCGTAGTCAACGAACATTCCAAAGTTGCACTAATCATCTATTATAGCAGTGCTAAGCGTGTCTCCCCAACTTTCGACTTGTGGTTATCGCGATTTTCATAGCTTTTATATAACATTTGTTCTCATCAAGAACATGCTTAGCAAGCTGTATATCGTTCGGACTCGTTTTAAAACGTTGATCACAAACATCTGTCTATTATTTACCAAGCGACTATCAAGGAGTTATGAGGGTTTAAATGTGCGATTTGTCAAGTGTTCTATGGCGCATTTCCCACGAAATTGGTATCAAAAACACCTGTTTATGTTTTTTTGGTGAATGTGCTTCTTCCTGTAACTAAAATAACCATAGCTTTCCATTCTTAAACTCTCATAACTCCTCCCAAACAGTCGCTTGGCAGACAAAAAACATATAATTGAATTAGCGCTTAAGACGAGTTCGATGATATATAGCTTGTTTGGAATGGCTGGGTTGTGTTCTGATCATTTCCTCGTTAGCACTAGTTGGTTAGGTAATCAATGAAACTTTGGCCACGTCTTCGTTGACTTTGAAGAAAGAAAAATGTTTGAAGAAAAGATTGTCGGCCGCCTTGGATCATTGAGGGATCATACAAAAAGCTGGAAAATGTTCTTCTCGTATATCCCGTTCTTGTTCAGTATGCTTATAGCGAAGGATACTAAAAATACTTACGGACAGGTAGACAACGTAAAATCCGGATATTTAGAGCTTCAAGATATGAGGCTTCATTTTTTAGCTGCGATCTCCTCCCCGGCGGGGTCGTTAATGCATGCGGCCTTTAGGCTCGTATATACGTACATCCTCGCGGGGGAAGGGAGGGAGGGATCTCATATCTCATTACTTTGAATATCTTTTTTCTTCGTTCTCTGTCTGGCTTTTCCATACCCTGATACCTGCGCATAGTGGATGCCAGCTTGCTGCCACACAAAGTTAGTTTTCCACTATTTTGTGTGATTCCTTGGAAATCCCAAGAGGATCATTTTTTGTTTTCGAAGTCATTCATCTTCCCGAAGACCCAATAAAGCTGTAAAATTATAATGGGGATATACTAGGGCACTTAAGCATGTTTTCGACAAGAATGGAATATGAATATTTTAAATTTTTCGATAATCTTTAGCTACTCGCGGGCGGTAGTTCATCCAAGATTTCGATATTTTAAGATTTCACTTATTTCTACCAAAAATATGTTTAGCAGAGCCACATCATATCTCGGCACAAATATAAGACGTTTTCATTGTTTTTATAAGAAGATAAATGAATTTGAAAATAAGAGCTGATTCTCTGCGATTCGCAGGAAATCACACAAAATAGTGAAAAATTGATCTTGTACGACAGTACCTTTGGCAAAATTCATGCGCAGATATCCAACCTTTTATTCCACACGAATTGCCTGTATCGTGGGTATTGAGTACGATATTCTTAAAAAAGCACTTTAGGTAATTCCTGCCAAGGTTTCAGGCAGCATGATTTTTAACCGCTGCTATGTACCTACCGTAACTCTGCGAAAAGGTCCCAAAACCCAACGAGAGTGTTTTAAGCGTGGTCAGAAAGTCGAATCTCCCATGCCGCGTTCTAGCCAAAAGTGAGATTTGGTCTCTGCAGTATACCTACCATAACTCATTGAAAATGCCTTAAACCAAGAGAGTATGATATTCGTAATCAGCATGTTAATTAGCCCCCTAAGCAAAGTTTAGCGAAATCCATGATTTTAGTTTCTTACGCGTACTCTCCGTTAATCCAGAAAATGAAACTATCGCGCGAAATGACTACGATATTCGTTATCAGCGGCTCGAGTAACCCCATATACCGATTTTGAGCAAGATCCATCATAAAAACATTTTAAGGCCCGGATAGCCAAATAACGCCATCAGTTTTTAGAATTATCCTTACTTTTATCGTTTTTTTTATTTTTTCTTTGCAAAGGTTTGAGCGGCTGGGGGTTGGTGTAGAAGGTAGGCGAGCATACTGGTGACTAACACAGCGGGAATAGGGATTGCGTAGAATTGGGCACAGGGAAAGGTTGTACAAGGGTACGAATGGAACCTTTGTCGTTTTTGACAAAGCCGGGCGGAGCCGAGTAAGCCAGTCAGTACTAATACAAAATGAACGTTATCGTACCAACTTTTGGTCGCGTAGAAGTACATGTGATTATGAGTGCAATTTTGAGGTGAAAGTCAGAAAGAAGAAATAGGATTGGAAACGACTTATATTAATTGCGCTGATGAGTAATCACAATTTTTTCTATTAATATATCAGATTGATGCAAAAGTTCTTTCGCACCAAATTCAAAATTCATAACTTGTTGAATTCTCAACGAATATAAAAGGTCTAAATTTTGTGTAAGAGAGGAACTCACGCTCTTTGCAAATGTACCTGAAATGTTTGTTAACATGTACGAATGAAGGAAATAGAAGCTCAAAACCAAAATCACTCAAATTTTGGATTTTCCATGTAGGGTCATAAAAAGTCGGAAACTTGCAGCAAAAATTGGAGCAGTCGGTATTGCAGATTCTTTCACTAACTCTTTCTAACGGTGCAAAGTTTGCGCCGATTGAGCGTCTCTATAAAAAGTTATGATTTTCGAGCAAGCTATACAAAAAGGTGAATTTGATTTATTTTGGCATTTTTCAGAGAGATCATGACTTTTCACAGAGACGCTCAATCGGTGCAAATTTTGCGCTGTTGGAAAGCTGGTGAAAGAACCTACAATAGTGACTGCTCCAATTTTTGTTGCAAGTTTCCGATTTTTTATGACCCTACACGAAAAATTCAAATTTTGAGTGATTTGGGTTTTCAGCTTCAATCTCCTTTATCTGTTCTCGATAGCAAACGGTTCAAGTACCCATGCAAAGAGCATGAGTACTTCTCTTATGCAATATTTGAATCTTGCAGCGTTAAGAATTCAACAAGTTATGAATTTTTGAGTTTGGTGCGAAAGAACTTTTGCATCAACATAATAATTCTTTTTGTCGTGGAGGTTTCTAACGTAGTGGGCTTTTGTGTAATTTGTCCTATCAAACTGAGCAGGTTCCCTAAAGAATTATCAGTTTTTGCTTGAGATCTACGCCGTCGGTCAAAGTTTCCGATGACAACTATAATAAATAAATCTACATCAACATATGGATGGGTAAGGTTAAGTTCATCCTGATTCCCATCTTCCGGAATTGTTTCCGCACAGTTCTCGCACTTTGCTAGAACTGTTCCGCAACTGTGCTGCATGCGCTGCAGCCGCCCGTACGCGTTTTGAACGGCGGGAGTTGAAGAATTTTGACCGCTCCCAACAGTTTCTCTTCCAATTTCTCTCACTTCGGCCTTATTCCTCTACCCCCCTTGCCTTTTTGGTCAGAAATACTTCGAACTCGAAGCGGGGTTGAAGAATGAGCGCTGCTCTGCTTAGGCGACAAAAATGAGTGTTTTTTGTGCTCGTTCATTTTCTCTTCGTTTTATTTTTACTTTATTTTTACTTTTTTTTCTTCGTGCTCTCGTCCATCTTCTCTTTCATTTTTGTTCAGGCCAATTTTATGTGTTCTAGAGACCTGTCTTTGTTTCTTTCAATACAGATGCGAGACCAGACAGCGCCTTCCTGGAACGATGAAGGTTTTGAGTAAAAGTTACGAAGAGAGAATGGACAGCGCGCGAGGGCCCATTTTTCCAGATACATGGACCAAATAGCGTCCCATCCTCAACCGCTTCAAGTTCACAGCTTTTTTTCATCACGGAGAAGCGGGGTTGAAGAAAGAAAGGAGAAGCAACGAAATGGAAAAGGAAAGGGGCTGAGAATGCCCAAAAACGAAACTTACCAGAAAACAAAAGTCTTTTGAGCAAACTTCTTTCAGAGCCTGCACTCCCTAATCGCGGCAGATGGCTATGGAAACTACGCAGCGGCTTCCTGCAACAAATGGAGTAGTTTAAGCAAAATCACGAAGAGAAAATAAACGAGCACAAGAACACACGTTTCGTACGCTGAGCAGAAAGCGCTCATTCTTCAATCCTGCTTCGAGTTCAAAGTTCTTCTGAGCAAAAAGGGAAGCAGGGTAGAAGAATAAGGGCGAAATGGGAGAAATCCGGAAGAAAAACAGTTGAAAACGGTCAAGTTCTTAAACTCTCGCTGTTCAAAAGCGTGCAAGGCGGCTGCAGCGCTGCAGCACAGTTGTGGAACAGTTCCAGCAAGTGCGGAAATGTGCGGGAACAGTTCCGGAACGGAGCCTTAGGCCGAAATCAGTATGTTTTCGGCCTAAAGGGCCGGTCATACCGGTCAGCGATCCATAGCGTCGCTGACTTTCCCAAAGGACAAGTGTCACAAGGCCGGAGATAACTGCGTATCTGTGCTGGCTGTCCGGCGCGATGCATCGCGGGCCGTTTTCTACCCGGCCATACCGATTTGAGCGAAATCGCCGCGATCGTCGCTCATCCTAGCGAATTCGCGTCGCTCATTTCAAATGCGCGACGCGATGGATCGCTAGGATTGAGATCTCTTTCCAGGAAAGTTTTATGATTGTTCTTTACTTTCTTAAGCTGGTCTCGTGTCTGGGGATTGGAAATCATTTTAGTTTTGTCTCAAAGTGCATTGGTTTTCCGTGAAATGGAAGCCTTTTGATTTATCAGCAATTGTCTCACTCACGCTAATTGCCTTGCACACTTCCCAAATTTGCCAGCTATCTGGTTTTCAACTGATGTGTGTTTTGTGGGTACGGCTCTACTATTAACCATTATAACGTTTCTTTGTGTTCTTTATTACCTCAGTATCCTCATCACGGGCAAGACTTTTGTTTGTGAACTCTCAGGAGCTAGTTGTACATATTCCGCGGCTAATCTGCACTGGAATCAGTGATTGTCAGATATTCGTGACTTTTATATGAGAAGTTTATGCTGATACAAAATTTATTTCTCAAATTTGCTTGTGCGAAAGTGCTTTATGTGACGTAGTGTGAGAATGCACACATCGCCGCGGTGGTATGCCCCCTTATTCGAGCGATCGGCGATCCGTCGCGCGTTTTCGTCGCTAGTTTCCACCCAGTCGCGACGATCATCCATCGCGGCGATGGATCGCTGACCGGTGTGACCGGCCCTTAAGGCTCGGCCAGAGGTGCCGAAACCACATCAGCGCTGCACCGGCGCCGAGCCAGCGCCAAGCTGCCCCGATGCTGTTTCGATCGAACACGTGCATTTCGTTCGGGGCCAGACTAGCTGACCTAGTTCTCAGCCAGGCAAATGCACCGACTATTGATCAATCTGTCAAAAGCTCCGGTAGCGCTTTGCGAACACAGGATCAGCTAGCCCGCCCCGAACGAAACGCACGGTATCGATCGAAGCAGCGTCGAGACAGCTTGGCGTTAGCTCGGCGCTGGCTCGGTGCCGCGCAGCGCTGACGTGGCCTCTACACTTCGGCGGGAGCCAAAGAATAGACAGTAAAAAAAGAATTTGAAGTAATCGAAAGTTTCGTCTATTTCACAAAAGCAGCGATGTAGTAGCGCTGCAGCTCGCTTTTGAACGAGCATGCCTTTTCTGAGTCTATCCATCTTTCTCATCAACTCCCTGTAAAGTCCGTGATTGCGACACGGCTTGGCAACGCGACGAAAACTGCACCCGGCTGCATCCACAGAGTTGCGTTTATGCGATGATGCAAAGTGGGTGCAGAACCGCCATGTGCAACAGCCGCCGTAGCCGCAGTATTATATGACGCTGCAGTATAATGCATATAATTAGTAGCTGCACACTTTGAAAGACCTTGATATTCCTGAGAAATCATTCCAGGTCGTCAATTCGATGCTAATGGCAATGTTCGTGAGTGGTGGGATCCGAACACAAAGAAACAATTTGAAGATCGAGCTCAATGTGTAATCAATCAATACGAGGAAATAGAGGTTAGGAGACTTTACAGCAGTTGGTTTTACTCTTTTTGGAGTTTGACAAAAGTGGATAATCGTAAAAATTTTGTGTAGTGAAAAATACTAGGTTGTCTCATAATGCTTTACCGCAACAGGTCATACTCGCATCCTGGATAAGCTTCAGGGCACCTTGATAGAGCAAAACAAGCTTTGTAAAATCGCTTTATACAGTTTGATCCAAGCAAATTTTGAAGCAAAGATCTAAATGGTTCTAAAACAGCCTATAACACCAAGGAAGGAGCACTTCGTCTAAAAAATTCTACCACATCGCGAATACAACCATCAACATTCAAACAGACATCGCAAACGTTTGCTGTATCTATCATTAATTGAATTTTTTTACTTCTACCAAAACAAAGCTGCCGGCAAATCAGTAAATCCATGCTATAAAAGATACTAAGTTCTCCCAAAAGTAATTTCGCTTTTTTGAACAAGCGCCACAGCCTGCGGATCAAAGAGAAAGATATTGATAGCTTTTTCTTTCTTCATACTTTAACGGTTATATATACAAGGTGTCCCAAAAAATGTATCGAACGTTTGATCGTTAATATCTCCCTTCTGAAGAAGTCTTTTCCCTTGCTTCAGGTACCAGTCTGTAGAGCTGGCTTCAACTTAGATTTGCATTATAGAACAAATCACTCATCTCTCTTCATTACTGTAGGATTACGGTGGAAACTTCAGAGAGGGTTTTAAGCAATGAAAGGCCATATTTTACCTCAGAAAGGGAACAAATAGCCCCAAAACTATTGCACTAGGCTAATTAGAGTTGCTGATTATAACTGTGAAGTTCCCAACTTATTATGATGCTTCATTGAAGAGTTATGCCAGGTAAGAGGTAGCGGCCATTTTTCAATATTTCTAGAAAGTGCGGTTGCACCGCTCAGAAGGCTTCATAATCTCGTGAATAGTTGAGTATTAAACTAAGCGTCCATAAAAACTCTATTACACAAGTTTTCACATTTTTTTGAAAAATTTTGAAACGGCAGCTTTTTCCACAATAACACCATATGTTCCAAGTTTCTACCGTAATCCTACGGTAATGAAGAGAGATGGGTGATTCGTTCTATAATGGAAATCTAAGTTGAAGCCAGCTCTACAAAACGGTACTTGAAGCAAGGCAAAAAACTTCTTGGGAAGAGAGATATTAACGATCAAACGTTCGATACATTTTTTGGGACACCCTGTATTTATTGCAGATAATGAGCTCACTAAAGACTTCCAGATGCTGCAAACCATTGTTTTGCCATGGTTAAGTTTTACTATTTTTAAGCTCACTAGAGATTACCAGATGCTGCAAACTATTGTTTTGCTATGGCTGTTTTACTATTTCTCTAAATTTTATGCCTTTTCTCCGAAGGGCGAGTAATGTTGAACAGAGCGAGCCCTATGGATACGGAGCAACTTTTCACTTTCCCCGAGTTTGCTTCTCAAGATTTTCCACTTGTTTTTTGTTGCTACCAAACCCCACACTGGTAATTTAACTCTGATAGTATATAAAACGGTAAGCAACTTGTTCTTTCAAGCAGCTTATCAGTTCTTTCTAACGGCGTTTCTATTAGGTTGCCCCGAGAGTCTTGTCCATTTTTTTCATCGCTCACTAAAGCTCACAGAACACCAATCCATGGGAGACTTACTCAGACAAATATTGCGAGCACCAGCGGCCCCTAACGGTTTCCTTCGGCGGTGCGCGGGCGTCCAATTCTTGCACTGACCATCCGCGGCCCTAGATTTATTTGCTTGGCGACCCGCGGCCCAATGTTATCATTACGGAAAGGCCGCGGCTTTAAATATTTTATCGGAACACCCGCGGCCCAAGAAAAACCACACGGGCGAGCCTCGGCCCTTACATACAGGACTCCCTGCGTATTGTAGTTTTCGGGCAAGCCCCGGCCCTCTAGGCCACGGGCCGAAATAACGACTCTGGCGAGCCCCGGGCCTTGCTGGATGCCGCAATTCTTACACGCTGTAAAAACACGTTACTTGCGCGAGATACGGCGCGGTGATAGTGCTACCCTCCAGATTTGGTCGCAAGGACAAGCCGAGTTCTGATCGTCGAAAGTCTCTTGGATGACACAAGTAGAGCCCTCGATTGGGTTATAGGGTTGGAGCGTTGATGGGAAGGGGTGTGAACCCCTTATTTTTGTGTAGATTGCGACCTTTATGCTAGACCGGAAGTGGAAACGGCTTCTCGAAATTTTTCGTAATTCGAGTACCGGATGCCTATCGGGACACCCGCGGATGTGGATCGCGCATTTGTCGGGCGCTTGTCGGGCCACCCGATGGTATTATTCGGGCGCTTATCGGGTCACCCACGGGCACTGCCGGGCGCTTATCGGGCACTTATCGGCGCGCCCTCGGGATGGGCGTGGCGTCGCCCGTGGGTGGTCGGCGGGTGCTCACCATAATTGTCTGAGTAGGTACCACTTCACACGGTTTTTTACCCTCTTTCTTACAGCTGTATTTGCTCTCTAATCTACCTTGTCTTTGCAATTTTATCGCCATGGCTTTTTGAGTAGCTCAGCATCAACCCCAAATCTTTCCTGAATTTTATAAATTTATTTTAACGTTCTCAAAAAGCGCTGGCAACTGTTATGTAAAGAAAACCTTTGACCATATGGTACCCATTTTAGATTACATGGGCCACGCTTACCAAGTCCGTTATAATCATTTATTCAATAAAAACCGCGGTTTTTCAATTACGTTTACCACATAAAAGTATCGAAAATTCCAAAAAGATGTTTTTTTGAGCAAATAAAATTTGGTCATGTTGCATGAATGATGTTTAATAAGAATCATGTTTCAACTCGCAGAAACTTCAAGGGCTTTCGTGTATTTGATGCAGTTGCGTGTTTCATGACTTTGCCAAAAATCTCCAAAGAAATACTTTTTGAAGCTAACAATAGCAGATTAGGAAAATATAGAAATATTACCTTTAGTCCAAGAATTGCTCTATTTGATCCATACTTAAGCCTTTCGGAAAGTTTGGAATAAAATTTTCAAAAATCAACCTAACTTTGAGCAGATAAAATTGACGGTGGACAATTTTGGCACTTATCAAAAAAGCATACAAGATTGTGGTTTAAAAATTTATCCATAAGAAAGAGAAGGAAAAGCTGCATCGAATGCATATTCAAACTCATTCAAATTTTCATTGTGCGTCGTTTCATACTGGTTTTGAAAACCGGACAAAACTTTCGGGACAAACTAATTGTTTCTGTTTTTGAGGAGAATCACCATATTCAAGTTCTTGAAAGCGCCTTATACCCGAAAAATTCGAATTTCGATGTTTCAAGTCGAATTCGAGTGCGCTTATTTGCTTTGCCTGGTGTTATCCTTCATTTTCGAAGATCCACTTGCAAAGATTGATTGGTATTCGGTACGCTTGTTCTAAGGTAGACTAAGTTTCACGTTATTAAAAACTCTCACAGGTCATGGCGAATTATGGGAGCCAGAAAATTGTTTTATAAAGTTTTGTAAAGTTTCTATTATTACATTACTTGGAATTCTTCAGTAAATAAGTAAAAAAAAAGCTTGAAAAACAGCGAAACTTGACCATGGCAAAAATCATACTCGTAGTATTGATAATTTTTCAAAAGCTTGTTAGTTGAACTGCAACTATATGGCTATTTGAAACAGCATGGAAAGCCAACGGTTGCTGCCTGCATTCTTCATGATTTGTTCAGCAGAATGTGGCGCTTACTTTAAAAAGCGATATTACTTTCGCACCAACCTAATCTAATAAACATATACAAAATCCTCTCAATGAGTAGCAATTAAGCATAGAAAACGCTAAGGGTTGGTTAAGTTTCATGTTACTTGCATTTATAGAGGAAAATATTACGATTTTTTCAAGAAATAGGTAGCAATTAATTGCTGATGTGAGCACAGTCCAGCATTGCTTGGCAAATGTACGAACAACTTCATAAGTTTGGCTATGAAGAATTTATAGTAATCGTATAAAAATGTCCGATGAGCAGTGGAAAGCCTTAAAACTTTTCGGTTTAAGGTTTTACTTTTTTGGTGTTTTAGACGTTCAAAGCTTTCTGGATTTTGGCTTTATGAACTTCTTAGAGATCAAACTCGGCAAATGTTAAAGGCCTTTGTGAAAGTATGCTTTGCTTAAACCAAAGTTACCCCGGCCTATTTGGGATGTAAAAAAGCGTAATTAGCTGTAGAAAATCAATGAGGAAAGCTAAGACATTGAGACAATCTATTTAGGCTGGTCTAAAGGCCTTCGAATATTCTGATAAAAGATAAAATTCAATAACTTTTCAATTTCCACAAACCCTTATCTCTATATTCAAAAAAGCTGGCCTGCTCCTTACAAAAGCGGAACATCTGCAACTTTCCATCGGCTAGCTTTGGAGAACAGAGCCTTTGAAAACAGCCCCTTCGACTATCCTGATTTAGATTTTATCCCAAATATAATGTGCACTTAGCGCCAAATCTGAAACGTTTTTTACACAGTAGCTGATCATATAAAGATGATAAAGCACAGGCTAGGAAGAAGGAAAAAGACATCGAACTGCAGAAGGTATGTCCTACATGTTGCCTATGCTCGCTTCCTCGCGAATTTCCATTAAAAATGTTGAAAATTCGAAAAGAGAGTTACACTAAAGAGACCTGAATAAACAAGGTGACGATAATCCTAATCTCCGGCGATTATCTTGAGCGCATAAAACTATTATTTTGGAAGCATCATGACTTATAATAAGCCGCAATTTGTCGGTCTGTAAATCTGTCTATTACGAAATTGCAGTGAAGAATGATTTACATTGCTTAAATGCATGTGAGAGTTGCAAAGCAAGTAAGATTCATTTTTGTGATTACTTTGCGGTCTCCTCCATCAAAGAATGATGAAGGCCAAGATCATTACGTAAAATTACCTATACTTTTCATGATGGCCAGTGCGAACCTCTGCGAAGCAGATGTGAAGCACTGGTTACTTGAATATTTTCAAATTCATCTTTGAGTACTAAACTTGAGCCCCCACAATGGCCGGCCGCCTCAACGTGGCGTGGGGGTGACACTGGGTGTTGAACTGCGTTGCATAGCCGGACGTATACTCTGGCAGGGCCTCCCAAGCTGTAAGCCAACGTCTCCTGTTTCCGCCAAATGCTTAGCTAAGAGCCTGCCAGGCCGGATGCACCGCCGTCTGTTTTTCTGGTCACTAGACGGTTCTGCTCCTCTCTCCAAGCCAGGGGTCAACGATCGCCCCGTGGAAATCGAGAGTAGGCTTAGTAAGTCTGTTTTTGTAGAGGAAAAATTTCATTACTCAATCAGCAAAAAGAAGAGAGATAAACTCTGCACATCGCATCCCGCCTAAGGCACCGTGTGGTAGCAAGAACGGTGTCAGGGTATTCAAAGCGCCTTTCGGATCGGACAAAAACGACAAGCCATGGAAACTGCCTCATGCTCTGCACCTAAAACGCCAACACAGTCTCAACAAACGCGATCTCCACGCTCCTCTCGGCGCTGCAGAGCACATCAAGTACCACATTATCGCTCTGCAGGAAACGAAGTCCAGGAAGATGGACATGCGACAGATGAGTGATGGGATCTTCATCATTCGTGGTGAAAAGGTTCCATCACGAAATGTTGGAGGCGTTGGTTTTGTCGTCCACCCATCTATCGTCCATCTTGTCGATTCGTATGAGAGTTTTGTCGTCCATCCATCCATCGTCCATCTTGTCAATTCGCATGTGATCCTGTCACCTCCAGTAGCCATCCTACGACTATGACCTCCACGTCAGAAGACCATCAGCATCATCGACTGCTGCTCAACAACATCAACAGCTGACGACTCAGAGCTAGATGCTTTTTAAGAAGACGTGGAGGAGGTCGTCCGCAACGAAAAGTCCTTCTTTAAGTTGGTTGTGGGCGACTTCAACGCGAAGATCGGAATGCCACTAGAAGAGGAATATAAAATCGGGAAGTTTGGGTATAGGCCCCGAAACGAAAACGGCAAACGTCTCATTGGGCTTCTCTCCACGACTTTTCCAAGAAAATTCCATCTTCATGAAGAAAGAACATCGGCGGTGGACTGGGAATCACCTAATGGAACGACTCACGCGGAGATCGATTACATTTTCACCAACCGAAGGTGAAGCTTGGTCGATGTCTCAGTAGTTCCATCCTTCTTTAGTAGCTCCGATTACCGCCTCCTTCCAGCGAAGGTACATCAGTGAAAACTGGAAAAGAAGGTTTGCCACAGTGCCGCAAGAAGGAGAAGTCGTTTATGACGGTAACAGCTTAAAAGAGCTCAAAAGATCTCAGCCCATATCAAGTTGTGACTGGCCCATCGAAGAAGAACCAAACGACTACGACCGGCTCTTGAAAGGATTGCGAGCTTGCGGAGAGTGCGCCTCAGTAACTTCCGAGAAGAACTTGGAACGCATTCAAAGACTACCAAGGAATCGGTCAAAAAAAGACTTCTGGGGCAGGACCCGAATGCAACACATCTCGAGCGACTGATATTCAACACCAATTGCAGAACAGCCTTGCAAGACGATCCCAGGAAGTACAGGCAAGCCAGGATACTGGAAGCAACCGATGAAAGACGAAGTCTCAAGAAGCGCCGAAGGGACCTCTGCAAATATCATGTACCGCTGCCTGCACTATTGAACGAAGACGGGATTTCGACTTTTTCTCGATATAAGATGGAATCTATCGCAAAGAACTTCTACACCAACCTCTTCCGCTCATCAACACCCGTGCTGATGCCCGTTGTTCCTACTGGAGAGGTACCACTAATGATTTTACGTGCTGAAGTGCGTATTGCAATACAGACCATAAAGACGTCCACGGCTCCAGGACCAGATCATCTTTCCGTCGAACTTCCGCGAGCCAGATGACACATCTACACAAGGTTCTAGCGTCTATTTAAGATCACCTTTAGAAGAAGAAGATTCCCGACCAGTGGAGAACATCAAGAACCGTCTTTCTCTTCAAGAAGGACAAACGGAAGGAGCTTCGGATTTACCGTCCAATAGCCTGCCGAGTGTGCTGTACAAGCTTTTCACGAAGATCATCCTCGCTCACATGTCTAGGACAGTGGACCACAATCCAGACGTGGTTCATAGAAGTGTGCCGGGAATACCGACTGCCTCTCGTCCTAACCTTTGTCGACTACGAGAAAGCCTTTTACAGTGTCGAAACCAGCGCCATCCTATCAGCGCTAGTCGACGGAGGTAGACCCAGATTACGTGAGGATACTAGCCGATTGCTACAAGGACTTTACAACAATGATGCAGCTATCCTATCGCCCGCTGACCATTCCAATTGGAAAGGGGGTTCAACAAGGCGATACAATCTCGCCGAAGCTGTTCACCGCGGCCTTGTGCAGTGGGTGATGAGTTACTGGACTGGGACTAGAGAGGCATACGAGTTGATGGAAGATTCCTGTCCAACCTTCGTTTATCGGATGACATCGTTCTCTTCTCGAGCAATATCACTGAAGCAGAGACGATGCTGAAGGAACTAAACGAAATAGGAAGAAGATTGAATTGCGAATAAATTGGAAGAAGACTCAGTTCATGAGGAACGCCTTTTGCGAAGATGCAGAAATGGAATTGGAAGGAGCTCCTATCATGGAGACGCCTTCTTACGTGTATCTCGGACGTTCGATGAACATGGAGAACGACTTGAGGGAAGAAATTAACGGGAGAAGAAGAGTAGTTTAGGCCGCTCCGGGCCTCTGAAGGAAACCGATCAACTGACGGACCCGGAGATTCGTGCCCACCTGTTCTACTCAACCGTTCTCCCGGCGCTCTGTTACCCAGCTGAGACTTGGGCCGACACTGTAGCCACGTCGAGAGCTTTACGGACCACCCACAGAGCGCTCGAGCGCAGTCTTTTGAAGATGACCCGACGAAAGCAACATCTAGTCGGACTTCGCAGTACGGATATGAAAAGAATGTCCCGTGTTCGCACCCAGCGGAATACGTTGCGAAAGCGAAACACTGATGAGCGGGCCACATCATGAGAAGAACAGACGACAGATAGACACTATGAACATCTAAGTGGATTCCTCGGAAGCAAAACGTCCTCGAAGAAGACCTCCAACGAGAAGGGCAGACGTGTTTGTGAGCGACCAGCTAAGAAATCAGCTGGATACGATTTTTGCAAATGGTCGTGGATTTTGAAGCGAGGGACAGGGATTGATGGATACTTTTGTGCTGTTCGCACGCCACGTGAAGACGGACCATTGTATTTGAGTAAGTACTAGATTGAGAGGAGGGAAACTCCGTCAGCTCATATCGCTTCCCAATCAATCATAATTTTGTTGAAGACGAGTGCACGTTCCTCTCTAATTCAACAGATTAAGCAAATTCGTTAAATGTGAAAAATGTGAAAAGGACAACAATTATTCAAAAACAAATCTTGCAAAAAGACTCATGTTTCGACCAAAAATCTTATTGAAGATACCTGGAACTGCTTTCAAAATCAACGGTAAACTCAGTCAAGGAGAAATCATTGCCGACAACGGTGGAGTGAAACAAGCCTATAAGGTAATATCATAACAACAACATTCGCTCCAAAAGTTTTTTCAGGCCTACAAAGCTTATCTGCAAAAACTTGGAAGAGAAGAAGAAAGAATCAAATGTGTGGAACAATTTAGCAACGAGCAAATGTTCTTTTTGGGCTATGCTATGGTGAATTTTTTACATACGACAGCATGTTTCAACGGTTCCATTTAAGGTCAGATGTGAGCATTTCACTAGAGACGCCATGTTTTTTCGTCTTGTTCAAGATCCCCACCCTCCAGAACGCTATGAGTAGATAGAGATGAGTTCATCCTTCAGAACAAAGATGGAAACCATTTTTTAGAGTCAACCAAGTGCTAGCAAATCAGCCCGAATTTGCTGCTGCCTTCAAATGTAAAGTGGGCAGTGCCATGAACCCTGCTAAACGCTGCGTTGTATGGTAAATTCAAAACTACAACATCAAAGAGACTCGTGTTCTAAAGCCCATGTTTACTACATAATAAATTCAGAATCAATGATGTCGAAGAGATACAGTGGGATATATGTAAAAGCAAGAACCTATTTGGCATAAACCTGAAAATTCCTATTTCAAAAGTACTGTTGATTATTAGGATGATGCAAAATCTATGCATGTTTCTCCCGCTACCGCGTCAGAGTACATAAAAAATAACAAAAGTAAAGTTTGAGAAAGTAAAACAAGCTCTTCAATATGGCGACGCGTGCAAAAAGACTGACAGACGGACATTGAAGTCCAAGTCTAGGAGTCAGATACTCAAAAATCCAATATCTAACTAAAAAATTTTTACGGACCGTGCGCTACATCTTTGCTCGACGTTGGATGGAACCTATTCTTCAACTTAGTAGATTCAGTTGGACAGTGTCTCACTTATTCTCATCAGCTTCACCTGCATACATGGGTCCGTACTTACCTGGGCTTTCCTGTAAACCCCGTGCAACATCCAAGCACAAACTGGCATGCTTACATTTCTATATCCTTTATACTTTTACGTTGTTTCTCATTATGCAAGTTTGTCATCAATCTTAAAAGAGGGATGGGATGAGAAGAAAGGGGAAAAGTAGGCGATTGAACAAGTGCGGGATCAATATTCTTACGGCTCGACCTTAGAGTAAACCGAATTTACTGCATGATATCGTTAAATTTTGTTCTAACAAATAAAAGATTCTTATTTTTTATATCACTTAATCTAAGTGAGCGATTGCACAAACAGAAAAAGACAAGTGAGCTATAGTGAGGGAGGGAGTAGGGTCGAAAAACTTCATGAGAAACTCCATTAAAATCTTTCAAAGTCAAAGAGGCTTCGTTTCTCTGATTCGGCTAGTGCCAAGCTGGTATGGAGTTCTACTGACACAGTTTGGGAGGTTTGCTATTTCTACAAACATCGCAATGTAACTTAGTGTCCAGCTTTTCTATGTATTCGAAAACATGCATAAAACGACAAAACATTCAAAAACAATAGACAACCAACAAACCAACATACGTACGCAAACCAAAAACAATAGCAATATCTGTGAGCGCATTGAAATCCATCTACTGCGCCAAGGACGAGGTGAGGGAGTTCAGTGATTGATCAGTAGCGGAGCATTCTGATCTGGTACCTATGTCTACCATTCTGATCTGGTACCTATGCCTCAAATAAAGTATAGTATGGTTAGAGCTTCAAAAATCTGACCTGTGCGATTTGAAATGAATTTGTCAAAGCTTACTTTACATAACAGTTACCAGCGCCTTTTCTCCAATATACGAGCAACTTCTCAAGTTGTTGCTTCTTTTCTTGTTCCGTGTTTGCTCCATCTTCTCAGGATGGAATGTCGAACTCCTCCCACTTGTTAGAAAATATTCGATATGCGGATGACGCGTCAAAAATTGACATGTCATTTACATAATTAATAGGTTTTACCAAATATTTGAGTTGCACATCTAACAAAATCAATAATGGCCCTGATTTTGATTTGACAATTTTAGAAATAAATATCAATCATTTATTTGTCATCCTGTACTCAACGAACATACTATATTTGTCCTAAACAGAGAGGAATTGCATTGAGAATTCATCATCTAAAGGGCAAAACAAGCGGCAGAGGTACTGTATAGTCATCTTTATATACTTTTTGGCCGAGCTCAGTTTGCTTTTGCCTTTTATGAAAACGCAACGAAGCTTTTGAGTCATCTCAAATGCTCCTGTACCTCACTGCAACTAATTTTGAAAAAATCACGCCAAATTGAAACATAACGTGTTGACTTTTTATGTGATACTTGAAAAGAAGGCAGCCTGGAACCATGAAAGATTGTTTCTAAGCTGAAACGCGTATATCACGGAAACTTATTGAAAAATTGATTCGGATAATGAAAAAGTATTTGATTGTTTAATAATCGAGGAGAATTTCTCGTCACTGTCACTCAAACTCAAAGAGCTATGGCGATAACATCGCAAAGAGAGCACAGTTCAAGAAGAAAGTGCAGCTATTTGAAAGAGTCAGGGCTCGGCACAGCTGGCACCGGGTCAAGCTGGATATCTTTTTTGAGGCGTAAAGCAAAGGGGATATCGTTTTTGCGGGCTACTTGCCACTGTTTGCTAGTGCCAGGAGCAAGCCGCCGGCACGCGGCCGGCATGCTTATACTTTGTACAGGGTGTCCCAAAAGTCCTTAAGCCTAACTTTTCAACGTAGTAACTTTGCTAGTATTCCTCGCTTTTCAGCCAAATTTTGCCTTTGAGTTCCTCGTCTAGTTGCCAATATTCTTCAAGAAAATCATACCGTTCACACTGTACATTCTTGAGATATACTTCTTGAAACGAACAATGCTACAATCGTGAAGACAAGCCGAATGAAACGCACTCATTATTCAAATATTTACAGCTCTTTTGTCTTTGGAGCTCTTATGGACTTTCAAACTGCATATTGTAGAGCTAGCTTCACTCTACATTTACAGTGCAAAACCAATCAATAGCCTTCGTTCATTAGAGTAGGATTAGGATACAAACACTGAAGTTGTGCCGTGCCAATGAGAAGGAAAAGTTCTCGGAAACAAAAACTTGGAAAAGCTGGAAATTTCAGCATCGAATCAGCTTCAGTCACTAATTCTAGCTGTAAGCCCTGCATTTTCTACTGAAATACCATTTTAAAGTCACTCCCGGTACACCATTTGGTGTTTTCTTGGTATTCTCAAACACTTGAATGCTACATTTTGACACTTTTGTCAAATCTCACAGTTATGCTTCTCAGATTTACGTGCCTTCAATAGCCGGGTCAAGAGGCCCTTGACTTTTTTTGCGATCAGTAATGGAAAACAAGGTTTGCTCTATTTCATGCTAAATTCTGGACAGTCTGGATTGCTTGCTTCAGAAGATGTGAGACAATCTCGATGCCAACTACCTGGCTGCCATGGTGCATGCATTCCGCAAGTGTCTGAGAGCCTGTGTAAAGGCCAAAGGAGGGTTTTCAGAAATCTGAGTGTATCATGTTATTTTCTAGGCTCTTCGCAAATTTCCTGCTGAATTTCATGCTTCTATGTTGCTTTATGCACTTTCAGCGGAGGAAATACTAGGCTCAAGGACTTTTGGGACACCCTGTACATTCGTACATTAGCATGCCGCCAGTATGCCACTCGCATGCCAACGGCATGGCGTCGGTACGCCGCCAACATGCCGGCGCTAAGACAGAGCGGAAATTTTGATTTTTCCCAAACAAACAAAACCTTGTTTGCAAACAAAACGCAAAGATATGACACCAAACTTGGTTTTCGTACTTTTTTACATAAATTTTATCTACATTGTAAAAGTTTGCATACAAAAAATGACTCCATAATGTTTTGCTTTCGGCGTTCTATAGCCATCGGAAAAGTTCTCGATCTGCTCCGCAGTCAAAAAATCTGCTATTACAAAGCGCGCTCTAAGCATATGCAAAACAAGTCAAGGCGACTTCGTGCAAAATTTTCAAGATCAGAGGGGACTTCGTTTTGCAATTTCCCTGTTGCCAGCTCGTGCCAAGCCCTGAAAGGAGTATATAAATTCAAATTGTATGTTACGATTCGTCAGTCAATAAAGTGTTTTGGTGGTTGATAAAGGAAATAACCAAATTTTACAACCTAATCTGTCTTTTGCAAGAGACACTTACAATGCGAGACTACGAAATCAAGTACTCGAACTCCTCTCTTCTGTTCGACATTTTACCCATTCTCTGTGGTTAGGGTTTTCCAAAAAAATCTTTGATAGTCACGTTTTATATAACCAAGGCAATGCTACTACCTCCATCAGTGAAGTTTTGAGATCGTTGGAGGAGGAGGTGAAGGGTAAAGTGATAGTGATATTCATCAACAAACTTCTCATTGATCTACAAACTTCATACTAGGTCATCCCAAAAGTTTGTTCGCACCATTATCAATAATTCTGCCATTTTGCTTGCTTTTATTTTTATAATCGTGCATTCCATAAAAGTATTTTAGATGTTTGCTATTGAGCACCGCATGATAGAAGCGATAGAAAGAAATTTACTTCTTATTCTGGATTTGGATGTGAAAAATCTGGTTGCAGTAAAAATCAGGACAATCAACATTGTAGGTTTCATTGTATAGTTGAGATTTTTGAGCGAGCATACAAAACAGCTAATTGATTTTTTCGCATTTTTTCCTAATTTATAGCTTGACACAAAGAAAATACAATCACCACAAATTTTGCTCAATTAGAAATGCAGTAACAAATAGCAATTGCCTGATTTTTTATGATCAAACACAGAAAGATCAAAGTTCGACTGATTCTTTTCGTATAGGTTCAATAGAAACCCCCAAAACGTTTCTCGAAGAGCATTAGTTGCTACTTGAACAAAAAAGAGCAGGCAAATTGCTTGGAGAAATCAGAAATTATGCGTTTTCAAAGATAGCGCGAACGAGCTTCCGGGGAGATCCAATAGATTGTTCAGACTTTGAGAATGTATCCGTTCGTCAATTTCTCTTGCTTCTTTTCTGACAATAAAAGACACACCGCCGTTTTGGACGGCGCCCTCCTTTGCAAATAATGCCAGCGACATAAGATAGAAACAAGTCACACTTACCATCAGACTCGACCAACACCAAAAGTAGCAACTTCTTATTTACGCAGAAATGTGTTAATGTGTCCCTCTCATTTAAAACCACTTTTGCCATTTGAGATCATGACTGAGAAATTGTCTTATCGTTTGTCGGAAGACAAGCAATACTGTCTCCGTGAAGAAGCAAAAATTGGTGCTATTCTTCTGTCTCAAAACAAATTTGATCCCACATAAAAGCTCTTCTCACGAATGTTCATTTACTGCAATCGTAGTTCTATAAAAAGTAAGGTCATAGTTGGGTCGTGGCCACAGTTGGGTCCAGTATGCACAGAGACGAGGGCTATTATACGTTCCTCAAAGATATTAGGTGGATTTACAATCAGTGCACCAAAAAATATGAGAAAATGTTTAAAACTTGCTCAAACAAACCAATAAATTTGCAGAAC